AGACGACCTGAAAACCGATTTGGCCAACTTTTTCGTAGCGCAGCCGCCAGAGTTCTATTGGAATGGCATCCATAGTTTGCATAAACGTTGGCGTGAAGTGATAGAGGCCAATGGTGATTACATTCAGCAGTTCTAGAGGCAGACTTTTCAAGAAATTGGGTTGTAATAATTGTTCATGAAATTCCGAGAACTTTCTTTCCAATCAGATATGTTCAGGAAAAGTTTCGTGGAAATAGCTCTCGTGTGAGAAGAGATATTTAGGTTAAAAGTCGTTGATCATTTGTTCTGCCACACTTGTATTTATGAACGATTTTCACGCCCTGAAATCTGTTTCCTTGTATACAGTGGCATGAACCTGTTTTATTCTTACTCTGTTTTGCACCGAAAGCTTCTGATTTTATTATGTGTCTGCAGTCTGAGTGGGAGCATACAAGTTTACACTCAGTCCAAAGTAGAAAATAAAATTGAAGTATTGCCAGGTTCTAGAAGCATTGGATACGAATCAAATCCACACCTTTTCGCGGCCTTTGAAAGCCATTCCCCAAGTGTGGCGCAATATTGCACATGCCTAGTTACTCGTTCTCCAGTGTGTTTCTTGCTCATGGAGAATGATTTGGAATGAAACCTAAAATGTTTCAGGTTGAAGAATTGGGTGGAGGAGCATGAGAAAGAGGACCCCTTCCTTCATCCCCAGGGACAAGAAAAGAATCCCTGGAACGACAAGGGACCGTGCTGCATTATCTAAAAACTCTAGAAACTCTGTACATCTTTCAATGTCTCTTATCTATATTGAATACTTCTGTTTTCCCCTTCCCTTCTTTCCTCGGTTTCATGCACAGTCACATTCTACAACATAATCGAGAAACTCAATCGTGAAGGAAAAAAAAAGAAAAGAAACGTACTTACTGTATATTGGCAAAATAACAAAATTCCAATAAGATGACATTATGAAAATAAAACTGCTGTATCTCGGTTGGAAGAAAAGGTGTCCATGGGCCTAAAGGACTTGCTCTGACAAAGTTCGTGACAAAAAAAAAGGAGAACAATGAGATATAATTAGGACTTCGAAACGGTATAGTTTTTCCTATACCCCTTGCTTTTGGAGGTCCCAATCGAACTGAAATCGAATGCACGTATTTCTCTTTCAAGCGGTCTGAAAGGAATTTCAGAATTTAATGTCTGGCTTTCAATGAGTTACATAACTGCCATGGGATATATTCATGTATGTATATTCCTTCAGGATGCTTGGTCTCCGTTGGAAGTTTTGCCCGAGGCCAATCGTAGGCTTTTTACATATTCTTGGTAGTGCCCAATATATTCCTCCAAGGACAACGGGATGATGGTGTTCAAGATGCTCTTGGGAACCACTGCTGGGAAGGACATATCCACGTCTGTAAGCCACTGCATGAAACATTTCCCCGGTTCTCCCGGTGCCTCCGAAAATGCGAAACCGCTCGGGTACTCCTTCGCCCTTCATCAATCCAAGAAAACCTCAAGTTAATCCTCATTTGCTAGGATTCTGCAATTGCACAATATTTATTAAATGAAATGTCAAATAGGGCTGGTCAAGGTATAAATCAATTGCTTCCCAAATTAACCGAAACGACTGCACGTGGTAAGTGGTTGTCTCAAGGCTTGTGACATTTAGTCTGAATACCCTGTGAATATTCTGGGTGAGACATGGGATCAATGATCCTATGCCTCATCCAGAATACACCTAGAACGCTTAAATACTGTAGAAGACGTGGTAATGACATCGCTACCAGCTTTACAACTTTATAACCCCACTGCCTAGACTGGCAGAGAAGTGCATACACATGCTACTCTTCAGCGCTTTTTTCTAGGTGCGAACGGGCAGAAGAGAAAGCGAAAATGCACAATCAGAGATAATCACGAGGGTCTCGAGACCGTCGATCGCGCAATTCGATAGAGGCTGTATTCAGCGCACGGACACATAGTAGGTAAACGAATTTGCTGCATCCACACCGATTATAACAGTTCCCGTAAGCACTGAATCATTCCAGTTGACGATCTTTGAGGCCGGTCTCACATATGTGTTTCATCGTGTCTGTAACTCGATGCAATGAGGACTATAAATGGAAGGGGATGACCCTGCTGGATTGCAAGTGGTCAGTGGACAGTGTACACTCCATTCAGGAGATGTGAAAGCGTTTACACTGAGAGTGGAACAGGAGCTGATAACGAGATACAGTTAGTAAATCCGTGCCGTTATATTGTAACTCCTCATCCACTCAGATTTTGATGAATATTTGGTTGTCTTGTAGAGCTCGTCGATAACTAATCCACACCGAATTTGACATTAATGTTTTGCAACGAGTGTGGCATTTTGCCCCGTCCTGAGGTTAGCCGTATCTGGAACCAACCAGTGGTAACCAGTAACTTACCGGTAGAAAGTGATAGGTGCTCTGTCAGCTCACACTTTTACCTTCGTATCCATCGCGTGGCCCTACAAGTCAACCGGTTCGATCACATAAACGATGAGCGATTGCTGGCACAAAGCTCCAGTCAGCCCGTCAAACCCTCTTTGCCGGGTGTACGAAGGTTCACCCCTGTACTTTCGCGATGCAAGTCGACTGGGGCGGCATGGCAAACATGCTTCCGTCGTTCCAGCCGGCTACCGCCAGTCAATACACAGATGGCTCGAGAGAGACTTGGACAAAAGAAAAAGACGCCGTGAAGCCATCCGACTTGAGTCACGTATGCTCTTAGATACTGCACTCGTCGAAAGCGAGAGCATTCGCCCTATCCGTATACTGCTCTTGAGCGTGAGGTTTCCCCATCTTTGGGATCGACACCGGAGAACAAAAATTCTGCTAAGTCTACGATGTAAACATTACCGTTCGCATCCTTACCCAGTTCGGGTATACGAACGCCTCTCCATTGCACAACAGAGTAGACTCTGAGACAACGTATAAAACATAGATCGTACTTATTAAGAGGAAGTGCAAGAATGAAAATGGCAGCTCAAATAGTCGCAATGAAAAGAAGCTGATATTGTGACACATTGGAAAGTTTTTATCGACAGGACTTACAAAATACGAGGAAACTTCTGACGTAAAAGGAGTAATAAAGAACCTGCGTAAAAAGGGGTTAACTCCAAGAGCCATTCTCGAGGAAATGATACGAACATGAGATTTTCACCATTCCGATCCGTGAAACAAAACAACATTCCATGCAGTGGAAACACGTCGACTCTTCGCCACCCTCAAAGGGTAAGATCAGTGTTAGTGTTCTGTGATGCCAAGGGTGTGTTACTAATTGACTACTTGGAGCAAGGTCCTTCAAGGATCACATATAGGGCGTTGCGGTATACCGGTATTCGGTTCTCGTGATAATCATACATTTTTCGGTATTACCGCTACGGTATGAAAACTATGGAATACCGCCCATTATCATGCCGTCTCTCATACTGTCTCCACGGTATGGAAACCGTGGGACACCGCCTCTCATCATACCGCCACCACGGCGCCATACCTGAAGAGCTATTTCTAAAAATAAAATACTTTGTCACCTATCCATCCACGGTGACGACCACAGCCCGGGGAAAACCGAAGCCTTCCTGGAAGTCTCGGAGAGCATTTAATCCTGACCCAAAGACCAAGATCCGTAATTTGAGTTCGACTTGCGCTTTGACTGTGCCCTCTGTTCTGTGTGCCTGAGCACTCAATATTTTCGCCATGTCTTCCGAGGATGTGGGAGTAAGACTAGGCCCAGGTAGGCCTGGGCATGCCTACAGAATCCATTCATTTCGGCTGAAACGGACGATTCCCCTTGCCAATTTAATGACATAAATGCGGATGAGCGACTAGCTCGACGCCATCACAATAGAAAGATTCCCCCTCTTCGTGGGGGCTTCTTCTAGGAGATCGTAACTGAGGCAGCCCCCCCCCTCCCAATTGCTTCTCGGTGTTATCACCGGTATATCGCGGTATTGAGCCATAGTATACCAACCGTGGAATTCAGAGCATACCGCAACGCCCTAATTACAGGTGCTTACGATGCAGATCAACTGCATAAGTCGCGCAAGGCTATCCAGGGTCAAGCGTCGAGAGAAATAGCGTCTTCGTGTGTCGTTTCATCATGAAAATGCACCATTCCACAACTCACACGTTGCCTTGGATACAAATAATGAATGTGGGCTTGAAATGTTTCTGTTTCCACCTTAGACCGAGTTCATACTCGTGCTGTACAGCATGCTGGATGCTGCAACTGCTTACTGTCCAATACAACATGCCCGTGTAGGATTGGGTTTTGCCGCTGCTATACATGCTGTATAGCATTAGTATGAACTCAGCCTTATACCTCAAACCTTTCCCCTTCCCTTCTCCCTTCGGACTTTCATCCATTCTGCCGTTTGAGAACACACTTCAGGAAAAAAAAAACGAATTGAGACTAATGATGACGTTACAGCAGCTATTTTCGAGTGGTTACAGGGACATGGCCTTCTTCCAGGAGGGCATTCAAATCCTGCGGCATCGTTAGTCTCAAGCTTGTGGATATCAGGGCAACTACGTAAAAAAGTGTTAAAGTTATGAGTCTACATCAAAGCCATAATGGCCAGGTTTAGGAACTTCTCGTCCACTCCTCGAATAACTGAGAATACAAAGAGTGGAAAATCCTCCACGCCTGAAAAGGAAAGTGGATATCGATGCCCTCCTCTCTCATCCGGACTACCCCCAAATAAAGGCTTTCAGCACGATACACAACGACAAGAAACTCGAAATATTAACACGCATCATCGTCGACTCCACCCCAAAAATCAAGGCGAATAAGCAGATATACAAGAAATGGTTTGACATAGAGTGCAGGGAAAAGAAAAAGGAAGCCATGCGAGCACTCCATCTCGCCCTATTTGGACACACACCCCTGGCAGACTACAACCAGGTCAGACGCGAATACAAGGCCCTCCTCAAGAAGGCAAAAGCTCAACACGAGGATACCCAGCTTTTAAGGAAGATTGAACAAAGTTACATAACTCCTTGGGCTATCCTCTCAAGGAGGCAAAGCTCCACACCTGCCCCAATCACACAGGAACAATGGGTCGACCACTTGACGCATACCCTAAACCCTCCGACAGATGCACCACAGATCCATGCCCCTGGGAACCTCTTTGAAAACCTCGACCCCAAAGCATGGTACAACCAACCATTCTCTGAAGAGGAAATCCTGCAAATGCTTCAACGGATGTCCGACGGGAAAGCACCAGGACTAGACCTCATCACGACTGAACAACTGAAAGGCTCGATCCATATCCTCTCAGAGGCGTGGTCGAACCTCTATAATGACATTTTGGTCTCAACTTCCCTTCCTGAAAACTGGCGTATCTCACGGCTAAAAACTCTATATAAAGGAAAGGGGAGGATTGACGATCCTGACAGCTACCGTGGAATAGCCCTATTATCAACACCATTCAAGCTCCTAACAGGAATGATCAACCGACGCATAGTGCATCACATCGAATTCCCTCCGGAACAATATGGTTTCAGGAGCGGCCACTCAACCATCCAGCCGATAAGACTCCTCACTGACGCCATCGCTAACCAGCTCAGTAAGACCAGAGGATCTCTCTATGCTGTCTTCGTCGATTTTCGGAAGGCCTTTGACACAATCGACAGGTGCATCCTAATAGACAAGCTCGATCGTAAGGGAATCAAGGGACGCATCCTCGGCCTCATCCATGACGTCCTGAGGAAAAACTATGTAAGGGTCGACGATGGTCTGAGAACTTCCAAAGCAATCCCCCAAACACAGGGCGTACTTCAAGGCGATAGCCTAAGTCCTACCCTATTCCTGATATTTGCTAGCGACCTCCCAGCAGCTCTGAAGCAAGCGGCCTCATCGGTCCACATCATAATGTATGCAGACGACCTTGTCATGTTCTCCACGAACCGGGCGGAGCTGCAGAAGACCATCGAAGCACTCAAGATCTGGACTGATGACAACAGAATGAGTGTGAACCTAACCAAAACTAAGGCAATAAAATTCCGGAAGGGGGGACGTCTCTCCAAGGCCGACGTACCATTCACTTTCGGCAATGACCACATCGGCTGGGAGAGAGCGTATGAATACCTGGGTGTCACCCTACAGACAACACTGACCTTCACAGATCATGTAGAGAAGAAGAAAAAGGCGGCGCTGAGAATAATCGGCACTCTCACCAATATTCACTTGCTGAAGATCGAGACCGCTTTAAAGTTATTCACCATCAAGCTAACCCCTCTACTCACTTATGGACTAGAGATAATCGCCCCATACCTGAAACTTCGACACCTCCTGGAATTGGACAAGGTGAAAAGTGCCTTCCTGAAAAAGACACTCTGCCTCTCTCGTAACACCTCTACCACCCTGGCGCACCAAATGATCGGTACTTCCACTCTCTGTGAAGAACTCAAAACGACCAACCGCTTTCCATTCAAGGGATGTGTGTGGACAGAATATGAAGCTGAGGTGAAGGAAAGGCGTTGGAAGTTTGTAGTAAAAAACTTCACGGAAGGCCCGGCTTTCACCTGTCACTTCTGGAAAGAAGCGAACCAACCTAACCGCCACCACATAACGAGATTCACTAGCCACGGTTTTCACCATAAGATATGCAATCGGAAAGATTTTCACGACCCTGAACCCACCTGCGTCTGCCGTCTCTGTGAGACTCCTGCAGATCAACGAGACCACCTGATTGGATTGCCCTGCAAAGGGAGACTCCAGTCTCATCTCCAAGCTACAGGAACTGCAAGCCCCCACATCAAAGTGAACCAACGGCCCCAACACCATACTATTTTCCCCATTGACTGTACTTCTTCATATTTTGACAATGCCAATGCACTGTCCTGACTGAGGACGAAAATGAAATAATACAGAATCCTCGAATAACTGCACTGTTGTAACCTGTCTTTCCGTCTTCTTTTCCTCAACGCGGCTCGGTGAACAGTTTTTTTTTTATTCCGGAAAGCTCCGGACCATCAAAGGTTTTTTTAAAAAAGCGGCTGCGGTTAACGCACGATGGACCTACCTGACGTAATCGTTCGTCGGTTCGTATCCGGGCCAGGTGGTGCTTACATATCCGGCATAGTAAGTTCCGTTGACGAGGCGGTAGCAAGAAACGCTGAGGAAGTCGCGAGATGTGATGAACCCTCCTCCCTGGGGTGCACTCACCTGATATTGTATCTTACAGCGGTCGTTCACGTCCTGCAGTCGCAAGGTTCATGCACTCGAGAATCAAAACTCAGCAAGGAAATCGATAACGAAGCGAAGATGCAGTGAAAACATCGCATGATTTGAGATTGCGGAGATGAACGATTACCGTATCGCCAAGACGAGAGAGTGAACTCACTGCGACGTTGACGTACTTCCTGACGGAGGGGTTCCACGAAGGGACGTTTTCGTCGAAGCCACGCCAAATACCGAAGAACTCTTTGTGACCTATGTCCAAGACGGCCTGAAAATCCGAAGGTCCTTCTTATCAGAACTGGTGATCGGGATCAGTTGACACCGCGTGGGTTTAACCGACCTCCGAGAGATATATGGTGCGATCCCGGTTGCGATCGTAGCGTCGTTTCACCCAGATTTTCCTCTCTTCGTCCGACTCGACCAAAATCCAGTCGTCTCGTGCTAAGTTCTCCATGAATGCATCGATCGCTTCATTTCCTTGCTCCACGTACTCGAAGTAGTTCACCTTGAAAGAGAATCAAAGGACAGGGAAGTTCCGATGGAATGACGGATCGAGAAACTAAAGAACTTTAATGATGGGTGTTTATGTCCTTAATGACAGCCGTGATTAATCCGGGTGAGATCTTAATTAGAAGATTCGTGGATGTGGAGGCGGAAATAATTCATTCGCTTCGAGGAGCAAAAGATATTAAGGTAAGACTTGCCCTGCGAAGAATTGCATTTCTTTCTGTGCTTGTGCGAATGATGCTTGCTGCAAAAGAATACTATCGCCATAGAAAAAAGACATCACTGATTTAGGAAAAAAAAAATATATATATATTTAGATAATGACACTTGAATGCCAATATTTTAACAAACTTAATGGCTCGATAATGCCGACAAATAGTTCTTACAGTTTCTTCTCAACTTCTTGCATTACAATCCAGTAGTAGCTACGGAATCAGCATTCCATCCTATTTCCTCTCCTTTACTTTATCTGACCCTTGTATCAATAAGTTGTCTTTCTAGTCAGAGACGTTTGGATTTTATAAGAATTGAAATCGGCCCATGTGTAAAATTTCTCTTAGTTTTAATTTCCATTAATGAAATCCGATTTTTAGTGGTCATTAGAGGTTTATTTTGGAAACCGAGGCAAGCAATGAAATTCCTATTGCAAACTGTGAGGCATGAAACAGGAATCGGTATTGGAGACCTAAATACTGTAGCCTTGAGCCATACTCGGGATGCGGATTGACACTATTAGACCGACCCGACGAGCGGATCGGGCATGTAGCTGACGATTGACGATTGGGTTTCCGGTTGGGTTACCGCGAATGCTTCTTCGGAGACCTGTGGCAGTGAAAATATGCGTTCATTGTCAGATTTTCTCGTTCTGTGTTGCCGTATCCCTAAATCAGAGGAAGGGAGCTTGTTTGTCACGGTCGTGGCAAATCACGTGATTTTGCACCATGACGATATTCCTTCTCGCCACCTCAACGAAGGATCTGTTTCCGTTTCTTCCGCACCTTCTTGTCCTCACTGAGCAATTTAGAATTTATAAAGCGAATCCAGATGAACAGCCGCGTACTTGCAAAAATTCGGGATGCTCAATGGTTCACTTGTAATTTTGATCGGATCATCTAGGCAAAAGATGACAATCGACCCCAATCGGGTTGCTTTGAGATCCTTCCCTTAGTCCAATTCAAGAATTTCATATTACGCGCATTTTCACCGCATCACTTTCATCTTTCTAATCTGTTTGAATCTAATTTTGGAATATATATTTTGATATATATAATTTATACACTGTCTCCAGATTGAATTCGTACCCCCCTCCAAGTGCGCTTCGATCGACTGCAGGTAATGAGTGACATCCTACACATTGGTGGTTACGTCGATCACCTAATGAAGCGGAACCTCTGAAAATTTGCGTTTTCTCCATTCTCCTCTATAGGAGGGTAGTATGAATTCAATTCGGAAATAGTGTAGTCATACGCTCATCTTTCATCGTCAGTTAAGGTAACTTTTGGCTTGATATTAGATAGTTCGAGTTATTATCTTCTCCACTTCAGAAAACATTTTACATCAGGTAGAAAGCTTTGAAATGGGGAGAGATCTGATGGCATAAGCGACATGGGGAGAGAGGTGCTGGGGGGGGACATGCTGGGAGAAGGATCTGCTGTTCATTGGGTATGGGTCCGGGGCTCATACATCCCCACTTGGTCCATGCCTATTATGGGGATTGACAGATTGACACGAAATATGCTTGGCTGGAGGGGCGAAAGGCAACAAATCAGGATCAGAGGTGAGATTAACAAATCACAGGGGGGTTGAACCCCCAAAACTCCCACACCCCAAGACGCGTTCCTGTCATAGAAAGCGCTTTGAGGTCCTACTACAATCTTCTCACTTCGATCAAAGTTTATTCTAAAGTGATCCTGGATTAGATTTTACATTCAATATTAGACCTAGTGTTTTAACATAGGAATGGACCAATCGGGGACGAGGACGTTGTCACATGTACAGCTGTTGCCTTTTTCATATATTAAAGAAAATACACAACGATATCTCATCTAGTCCTGATCATCCTGGGCGACGACCGAGCCAGTATGGAGTACCCGAGCCGAACTCATCATGCTGGATTTGGTTCGTCTTGGTCACCCTCAAAGGAAGTCCCTATAACATGGTTGGACCTGAGATACTACGGCCTTCCGCATCACTGGGATCCATCCTCTTACGACGTGGACGCACGAACCGAGGAATAGTCACTGTGCGCCCAGGGTGACTATTGATAAGTTGGCTACTGGGGCCTGGCAATCCGATGTCTCTGGGTGCGTCGGACCCCGTCATGCTACATATAGGCCTATCGGTCGGCTTGCCACCGGCCATAGCGTACTCTCGGCACGATGCCCCAAGGGTAGACCAGGAGCGGAATCGAACGGAACCTTGGCAACGGACTCTGAACATCGGGACTTGGAATGTGCTAACACTCGGCGGTAAGGAGCCTGAACTCGTGGAGGAGACAAGGAGGAGATGACTAGATATAGTTGGCCTGGCCTCAACCAAAAGGAAAGGTACCAGTTCCATTTCCTAGACAACGGATGGACCCTCTACTGGAACAGAGTCGACTCGACCGTGTTTGCTCAGGCTGGAGTAGGGATACTCATTAGTCCCCAACTGGCCGAAAGCGTCATTGAATGGAACCCAGTCAGCGAGCGTGTCGCTCTGATCCGCCTCAGACTGGAGCAAGTCGGAGAATTGGCCGTCGTTCGGGTCTACAGGCCGAACAGCGAGCCTGATTACGATGCGTTTTTGGAGGAGGTGGATGGAACCTTAGAAAGGATTCCGAACGGCGACCGCGTTGTGCTGATGGGGGACTTCAATGCACGAGTTGGGAGAGACAATGTTACATGGAGTGGTGTGATCGGTCGATTTGGGGAAGCCACGCTGAATATTTTGGTTGAGGCCAGGCCAACTATATCTAGTCATCTCCTCCTTGTCTCCTCCACGAGTTGGGAGAGACGATGCTACATGGAGTGGTGTGATCGGTCGATTTGGGAAGCCACGCTGAACGGGAGTGGCAGAAAGTTGCTGGACTTCTGTGCTGGAAATGGTCTGACCATCACCAGCACCTTCTTCCAGCACAAAGATATCCACAAGTTTACCTAGCACTGGGGTCTGATAGTCGGACTGGTACTGTGTGCCAGCAATCGCGGATCGAGTACGTGATCGTTTCGGCGGACTTGTGGGACCTTGTGACGGATACGAGGGTGTGACGTGGGGCAGAACTGAGCACCGATCATCATCTAGTGGTCAGCAAACTTCGGATACGAGCGAATCTCAGAACGAGATAGAGAACCGCACGCGTTGAAAGACGAGTGAAGTGGGAAGCCCTTCGCGATGAGGGAACTCGTGACGAATTTGCGAGGGAGATCGGCGAGAAGTACTCCCAACTGCCTCCCCAGACGTCAGATGGACTCGAATAGACTCTAGACCGAAATAGAGTCGAATGGACTCTATTTCGGTCTGGTGTTTCGGCGGCGGCAGCAAGAGTGAGTGGGGAGAAGCGCATCGGAGTGGCTCACGGTAACGCCAAGCGAACGCCCTGGTGGACACGAGCGGTGCGCGAGGCTGTCATTGCCAAGAAGGTAGCCTACCGGGCGTACATTTCCAGTAGGTCTGATTCTTCTAGGACGTGCTATTCCGAGGCACAACGAACTGCTGCTCGTGTTGTGGCCAAAGCGAAACAGGAGGCGTGGAAGGAATTCGGCGTAGTTTACCTTAGTCTGATGGCGTGACGGTAGTTCCACAAGACCGTTTGATAGGCTTCCAATGCCGTTCCGTCCGTTGATACGCTCCGGGTCATCAAAGACAGAAACGGGGAGGTGTTGACTGCCGAGGCGGATATACTTGGAAGGTGGAAGGAACACTTTGAAGAGCTCTTAAACCCACCAACAGTGGACACTGACCTACCCGGCCTGGAGCCTCTCAGCGCGGAGACTAGTCTCACCATAGAGGAAGTTCTGCAGGCCATTGCTAGCCCGAAGAATGGGAAGTCTCATGGTGTGGATGAAATCCGGGCGGAGATTCTGAAAGCAATGGGTACAGATGGGTGCTCGTGGCTTTATGGGGTGTGTCAGGCTGCTTGGGAATCGGGAACGGCACCTAGGGATTGGCAAACCGGTGTGGTGGTTCCTCTTTTTAAGAAGGGGGACTCGAGGGAGTGCACGAACAATCATGGGATCACTCTCCTCAGCATACCTGGTAANCACCTAGGGATTGGCAAACCGGTGTGGTGGTTCCTCTTTTTAAGAAGGGGGACTCGAGGGAGTGCACGAACAATCATGGGATCACTCTCCTCAGCATACCTGGTAAAGTCTATTCCAAAGTGCTGGTGCAGTGAGCTCGGGCAGTTGTGGGTGATGCCATCCAAGAGGAGCAGTGCGGCTTCCGTGAAGGGCGTAGCACCACGGACCAGCTGTTCACTCTCCACCAGATCCTCGAGAGACATTGGGAGTATGCGAAAGATGTCTACATGTGCTTTGTGGACCTTGAAAAAGCTTACAACCGTGTACCCCGAGGAAAACTGTGGGGAGTGTTGCAGGAGTATGGGATCAGGGGTCAGCTATTGCGGGCCGTTCAGTCCCTTTACAGCGATTGCAGAAGCTGCGTCCGAGTGAGCGGGAGGAGTTCGGATTGTTTTCTGGTACACGCTGGACTCCGGCAGGGTTGTGTCCTCTCACCTTTCCTGTTCCTCGTGTACATGGACAGAATCTGTAGGCGCAGCCTCGGCCTGGAGGGGGTCAACATCGGTGACGTCGCGGTAAGGATACTTCTCTTTGCCGACGATGCCGTTCTTTTGACCAGTACATGGACAGGATCTGTAGGCGCAGACTCGGCCTGGAGAGGGTCAACATCGGTGACGTCGCGGTAAGGATACTTCTCTTTGCCGACGATGCCGTTCTTTTGACCCGCTCTCGACAGGAGCTCCAGAGCGTGCTCGATCGGTTCGACTCCGAATGCACTGCGGCCGGAATGAAACCGAGCGTCTCCAAGACACAGGTCATGGTCCTCTCGAGAAATCCTGCTCGGTGCACCCTGCATGTCAGTAGGATCCCACTGGAACAGGTAGAGAAGTTCAAGTATCTTGGGGTCTGGCTCTCGAGTGACGGGCGATACGGAAACGAGATCGACAACCGCATCTCCAAGACTTCTGCAGTTCTACAGGAACTTTGGCGAACCGTGGTTACCAGATAGGAAGTTTCTCTGGAAGCAAAACTCTCGGTTTTTAAGAGTGTTTATCTCCCCACCCTCACCTATGGTCATGAACTTTGGGTAATGACAGAAAGCACCAGATCGCGAATACAAGCTGCTGAAATGAGGTTCTTGCGTCGAGTGGCTGGCGTAATGCGGAACTCTGCCATCCGCGAGAGTCTCCACGTCGAGCAGCTGCTTCTTCGGATCGAGAGGTCTCAGGCCAGGTGGTTTGGTCACGTCTGCCGCATGCCCCCTGAAAGGCTCCCAAGAGGAGTCTTCCAGATCAAGATGACCGGCAAAAGACCTGTCGGTAGACCTCGTACAAGGTGAAGCGATTACGTCGCTCGGCTTTGTCACGAGACGTCGCTCGGCATTCCACGAGCAGAAATGAGTCTGTTGCCCAGGATTGAGATCACTGGAGAACGCTCCTGGGAATGCTCGAACCGCGACCCCATTAAGTTGGGAAAAGCGGCCAAGAAAATGTAAATGTAAAAAATGTACCTCATCTAGGAAGGACGTAAGTAAGCATAGTAGATGAGCTTTCCTGTCCCATAAAAATGCTGGCAGTGAGTATAAAATGTTCTCGAGGCTTTGGACAAGAATGCAGGGGCGTTCCGACTGGATCAGATGTAATTCTTCGAAAACAGATCGATCTGAGGGCTGTCAAGGCACGACGAGGATACTTGGATCAAAGATGGAGATATGAGGGGAACTCAGTGAATGGTTTTTGTTTACACACCATGGAGTGTTTGCGACAGGACTCACTGCGACACTTAGCCGGGAGATCCTACGTAAAATGGAGGTTGAGTGGGATTTTCCTTCATGCCTTGAGCTGGGGAGGGGGAGATTTCCTTTTCCTTCCTAGGGAAAGGTTCCTTTATCCTGCATCGTGTCTCATTTCGCCTAAAGCATTCATGATTTTACATCTAACTTATGTTTAAATCGTTCTAGTGGCGCAGCTACTATTCTTGTGACTGTCTATCCTGTCCCAAATTAAATAGAAAAGAGCTGTTCACAACGAACCGAAAAAAGAAACAACTGACTCTTCAGAAACTCGTGTCAGTCCGACTGAAAGCTTACGCACCTAGAGTTAATTTTTCATTAAAGCTCTATTCCATAATGTATTCTGTTGTCAAATATTTTCGCATATGAGCATATTCATATGCCATTTAATCATGAAATAGAATTTAAAGACAGACCCTTTCCACACATGCTGATGAGAGGGAAGAGTTCTCACATTATTTCCATCATGAGTTCCTATTTAACAGCTTTCTTCATTGGCTGCTCATCAAAATCACTTTTGTCTCCGCACTTTGTCTTTACAATTCCTTATGTGTTTGCACTGTGTTTAATTCCTGTCCAACAAACAGTGTCTCATTGGGTACAAGCAGCCTCCATGTAACCTTAAAGGCTTTAAGGGTAAAAAAATTACATACTTGAATACATGTTGCATGGAAGTTTCAAGCAAAACGCAGGGAATTGAAGCATAATTGCTTCTTGTTCTACCAGGTTCGAGTTAGATTCTCATGATTTCGAATGGGCTGCAGATCCACTCGTACAGTATTACTTGTTTTTACTTCTGAATCCTGGAGGAAATACGCTGACATGATTGAAAATACGCTGACAATTTGGAAAAACTCGTTTGACTGCAAGCAAGATAGATCCACCACAGCAAGTAACCCCCAAGTTCTAAGCAGAGAACCGCCTCCTAGGGGAATTAAATGTATATTTATTTCAGCATGGACTGTCTCAATGTCACTCTTCCTTTTTTGTGAGTGATTCTGATCAATTCTGATCGTTAAATCTCCTTCCCTAAATCTATTTACCATCCTTCTGGATGCAGCCGTCTTTGCATTTTCATCACTGTAATTGATGCAAAATACTAAATTTAGCCGAATTAATCTGGCAGTCATAAAAAAGTTTACCATTCTTACCTTACTGGACATGTACACTGGGGAAATGGAAGTTTCATTCAAGGAGAGCCCAGGAGCAAGGCTACACCTTTTAGGGAATCAAGTTTTAAACTGTCCTCCTCTGCCTAGATGAAAACCTCGATCCACGCAGAACCATATCCAGTACCTTCTATGGTGTCTTATGAAAACTATGGTGGAAATTCCAGAGAGAAAGTAACTCACTTCATTGAGAAAGATACACAAGTCCACACCCTTCATTGAGAAAGATATCCCCGGAAATGTGCCTGATTTCCTGTTCCCCTACTTCAACTTTAAGACAACTTCTACATCCTTGAAACCTTACCGAGAAGGCTAAGTAATTTTTAAGAGATAGAATTTTAGTTCTAGCGGAGATGTATAAGTGAACGATTGTGAACACAGTCCGCGTTGGTCTGCAAATTATATCAGATAAAAATATGAACTGATGATTTTACATTTGCGAAGATAGATGGGGTCAACATGCATTTCATGCATTTTGTATCTATCAAAAATATCAATAGTATTGTTGTAGTAGTGCTATTGCCTTTCTATAAGTTGAATATCAGCACGCTCTTCTTCCGAGCAGGGTTATGGGACAAAAGAGAGATGAAAATGACCCCTTACCTTGGCCTTGGGAGATGACGGCTTGAATTGCGAAACTGCATGTAAATTAGTCAAGTGATCGCTCTGAAATACTTTCACCTACTAGTTAGTGGTCCTAATGACTACGTCTATATGTTAGGAAAAGAGAGAGAGGCAAAAAATAGATTGGCACGTGTTCCCTTTTCGGGGGAACACTCAGTTAAGACCTTTATTTTCCTTACTGGCGTGGGGGTGGTGATGGTGGAGACGGACGGAGGAGAAAGAGAAGAGGTGCTTTGCCCTTTCCATCCAGGCGAAACCTCGTAGCTCACATCCCCCTGCCGCCCTGAGAAAGAGGTCGACGGGAAAATTCACTATAGTACTGCATCACTCATCCTCACCTGTTGCCTCAAGAGAGACTATTTAATGCAATGTCATTTGAAATTAAATCAATCATGCCTGGATTATAAGACATTTTATCGTCTTATGATAAGAGCAAAGGGAATGGCCGTTTCTCATGCAATAGGCTGACTCCCTCCTTTCGCTGAGGCATTTGAGTCCCTCAACGGTCCAATATTTCCGATATCTGGAAATATCATATACCATTGAACAATTGTAGAAAAATGTGGAATGTTTTTGGACTAGACGGAGAAATATAAGAGAAAATGAGGAAAGAAGGTGAATTTCCTCATAACGGATCAATGGTGTATCTGGGAGGTTTAAAAATAAAGGGGAATGAGCGGTGGGGGGGATAGGGAAAAGAAAAACATTCCGAACTTCAGGAACTAGTAATTCCATCTCTCTCATGTCTCACATTCACGTATAATACTGTACTTTGCGGACGTCTTTCAAACGAATCCGACTGCTGTAAAAAAAATCTATCGCTGCTTCTAATATGCGAAGATGCCTATTCGCCCCATTCGAATGGGTCATCAAAATATTTTTTCTAAGTCGCAGACATGCACTCCCTCCTTAGGTCGATTTCTCTAGGAAGAGTGCGACACTCTTCTCTGGTGATCCAATTCCTCGGAGAGAAAAAGGAATCCATATCTGACACTTTCCCATTTTCTCTCTATCCGGAAAGAAACCCTGCAACTTTTTCGTGGAATGAAATATTAGCAGCACAAAGAACTTTCCACGGCATATTGGACCAATCTAAAGAAATGTTGCCTGCATTTCTACGAGATGCTGGCATCATTTCTCGTATTTCCAGAATGAGAGCGAGCTTCTCCAGGCGACTCTTTCGACTCTTTTTTCGACTCAATACAACTTAGTTGAAAGACGCTCAAGGAACACAACTCCTCGACGGGTAGTTTTTCGTTCCTACGAGCATTGCATTGTATTTCCCAGCCAGCCGAGATGAAGGTATCTCAGCAGGGGTCCTCAGGTGGACAGCGATCTCGTTAGAATCGATTCGCATGCCGGTCGTCGATGGTATCGGGGAACTATCCACATTTCCATATTGGATTATAAATTTTCTGGAGTCACTCGTATGCATCTACTGTTTCTCCGGAATCACAAATATCTCAGAGCCGCCTTTTCCCCCGAATATTCATGGATGGGAAGCTTGATCAAGATTCAAGATATAATTCAATTCTCCGCGATAATACCCCCGATGCCGACGGGATATAAAGGCTACACCAGTGCGTGGAACCGGCGCGAGGGGTTAAAAGCTAAAGCTACAGAGTGGGCAAAAACGTCAGGTCTTATTTTTGTGGCAGCTGGTAAAATTACAGACCTTGCGATTTCAAATTTTAAACTATCTTCCGAAAGCCACATTCGATCCTGATCGAATGCCGCAGCCTGTTTTGCAACAACTGCATGGAATCAGAAGTTATGCCCAGTTAAGTCCAAGGGGCTAAAATAAAGATAGTCGTGCAGAGACTGGCTTGCGGGCGCCAGCCTTGTGTCGTGGCAGAGACTCGGAGAAATACGGCTCTCAAGCTCTCGCAGCGGCGGGTGCAGGTAGTGAAGGACGAAAATTGAGGTCAAATCCAGCATTTCTTTCAGTGATAAAGAGCTTCGGTGCTCGAATTAAAAAAATCATCGCTTGCTTGACATATGATTCCTTGTAGGTGTTCTAAATTGGGTAGCAAAATTCGTTTGGAATTCAATAGAGCTTTTTCAGATGATGCTTGAAAAATCCACGACCGATATCTTTACCAGCTGCCACTAAAATTCGACTTGATTTTTTTTTTACCATTCTGTAAAACGGACCGACTTCGACCGAAGAGAAATCGGCTGATTTCACGCGTACCAAGGGAGTAAGCTTTTAAAAGTTCAAGTATTCAAGTGCAAATTGCTCTAAATTGCTGGTCTTAAAATGGAGACCAGTGGAAACTCGTGGTGAAATATGAAATATGCATTACCATGATTGGGTCGATGAGGAAAGGGAGGTTAAATATAGTTCGAGGCTACGCGAGCGCGCGTCAAAACTTGTTTTGTACAGGAAGGCCCAAGGTCGCCTGTCTGGGTTCCCTGTCCCTCTAGTCCAGGGGTGGGCAAACTACGGCCCGCGACAGCATTTCGGCCGGCCCACCAGTTGTTGCCGTGCAGAAACGAAATGCGGCCCGCGATGACAGGTCTGATACCCCTCCCAGCACGACTATTTGGATCCCTCCAAGGATCAAGGAATCAAATATACGGACTGTCCAGTTTGCAGTGCAGTGAAGCGAACAGCTCTTCACACTTGCCACATTAAGGGAAATTTCCTCCGGGAAATAGAGGAAAAATTAAGTCTAACAGCCATAACCAGCAGGAAAATTCATCTTGCTCTCTGACAAACTGCCAATTGTTTGCTAAGCCGGCTAGGTCGAGAAAACAACTGACAGCATTGCCCTGACTCATATTTGTCCGTGCGTCTGAACTAGATGCTTCGTGGTGATTTGTATTCCTGACTTTTGCGAAATTTCGAATATATTTACCGTTACAATATGAGTGACTCCAAGAAGAGTAAAGTTGACAGCGGACGTTTAATCTTCAATAATGAGTGGACGACAAAGTATTTCTTCACGGACGCGGATACAATACGGTTTGCTTGATTTGCCACCAAGGCGTCGCAGTTTTCAAGGAGTGCAGTGGTGCGTCGCAGCGAAGAGATTCATGCAGACTCGGCAGCACAGTTACATAAGAAAGCAAATTCTTTCGCGAGGTCCTCCTTGGCGCTGGATGATAGACAGCTCGGCTACTCGTTTTCGTAAGAGGCATCAATGACACGTTTGAAATTACTGATAAATTGCTGTTTATGGAATCTCTGAAGGACACAACAGTAGGACAAGATCTGTTTGAAAGAGTGGAGCATCAAAAGACTGAATCACCGAAAGACTGAAGTTGCCTCGGGAAAATTTGGCTAGTGTCACAACAGACGGGTCACCCAACTTCACTGGTAAAAATGTTGGAATTTTAAAAAGAATTGAAGAGAAAGTGAAAGAGATGAATCCAGATCATACTTCCTATTTCGTCATTGCATCAGCCACCACGAGGTGCTTTGTAAAATTGTTCCGAATTTGAAGCATGCGGTAAGCACAGTCGTTACGCTTGTCGATTTCATTCGAGCGAGGGGGCAATTCATTGCTCTGCTTGAAGATACCGAAGCGAAGCTCGCCGATATTGCATATCACACCAGTGTCCGTTGGTTTAGTTTAGGAAAAGTGTTGAAGAGAGCGTGGGAGCTGAAGGAAGAAATCATAATGTTCTTGGAAATGAAGGGTAAAGATGAAGATTTCCCAAAGTTTAAGAAGCATATTAGCTCTCTGGCTTTGCCTTTGCCATGGACGTTATGGAGCATTTAAACGACTTGAATCTGAAACTGCAGGGCAAGGAGTGTTTGTGCAGGAACTCTACTCAACTGTTAAAGACGTTCCAAGTCGAGCTTACTCCTGTTTTCGAGGCAAGTGAAGGACACCGCGTTTTCGCATTTGCCAACTTTATTATCGCCGTGTCCTTCAATACGACTGACAAGTACAGCAAGATGTTGTGTGATTTATCTGAGTTTTGCCGTCGGTTTTTCGACTTTGAGAAAATCGAGGAACTCGAGCTACTGTCTCGTCCATTTACCTTTGACTCTATGAAAGCTCCAGACAAACTTCAACTGGAACTGATCGACTTACAGTGCGACTTACCTCACGAGGAAAAGTTCAACTCTGGTATTACTCTTCACCGAATGAAACAAAATTCTCTAACTTGCGAGAACTTGCCAAGACAATACTAGAGCTCTACAGTTCCACTTATGTTCGTGAGCAAACGTTCTCGTCGAACAGCAACTAATCAAAGTTGAGGATGAAAATGACTGGCCAACATTTGAGTGCAGTGCTCCGTGTCAGAAATAACACCTGACTTCGAAAAACTCATTTAAAAAAAACTGAGCAGCTGCACGTGACCCACTGAGATGTTAATAAGTTTAATTTATTTTTAATTTCGAGTATTTGGTGCTTCTGTGGCCCGCGAGGCTTTAGTGTTTCGTCATGTGGCCCGCATGTTAAAAAGTTTGCCCACCCCTGCTCTAGCCTCACTGACCTTTCGCGGTCGATCCTCATCCGACGAGCCCGAGCCGATTCTCGTGTGTGAGTGTGAGTTTAAGTAAGCGAACGCTAGTCTAAATTTAGCTCATGTTAAATTTTTTCCACATTGAATACAATTTTATTCATAAAAATATATCACATCTCTCTGGTGATTTCTGAATGTTTCTCGTGCTTCCGTTCTTGAGATTAACACGTGAATGCTTTCATACGAGTTCTTCAAATCATGGAAGCCATTAGCCGGTGCTAATGGAAGTTTAAAGCTTCACTACGCTAAAGTCAGTTTTATGCAATCCACCCACACGTTAATTGAGCCTCGGTATGGTGCGGGAACTCAACTGCATATTCAACCCTTCCAGAAAGGAGGTCATTTAGGTAGAGGTGGAGGTCGTAGGTGGATTCCATTTGGGACGGAGATTCGCGGTGGAGACATGCAGCTCTGTTGGTTCTCAGACCCTGATTACTCTGGTTCGGCTGCTCTGCATGATTAAGAGTGCGACCCTCACCAGACCTCAATGTAAACGAAAGTGAGGTCGGAGGTGATGGAGAGCGGAGAGCTCATCGTGCATGTCTCACCCACTTTCCACTTCGTCTCTATATAGTCCAAGGCCGTTTTAAAGATCCGATAAGGGGTGGAATCACCTGATTATCCGACGGTTCATCGAACTCGGAAACTACGGAGCCCCATCGGTAGTTGGAAAGACAGCCGTGGAACAGTGAGAGTGGCTCTCGATCGAGTATCCGCGATCGGAACAAGAAGCGGTTCTCGTTCCTGATTTTTCTCCATGCGATTATGCAATATGGGGAAAACGATAGATCTGACTCATGAATATCAAAATGAAAATTTCCAACCATATAGCAAACCTGACAACTCCCATATTGGCATTATCATCTACATATTTCTCGGAATCTCATCCTCATGGGATGACTAAGAAGACGACGTTTAAGAGAGGAAAGACCGCGGAAGATGTAATGCCGCATGCAGTAACCAGAACACGTAGACTCAATCTTTCGGCCGACTCACGATCATCCCACACACTATCTCCAAATTGCAAGCATAAAGATGAGCCCATCTGGTCTTACATAAGCTGCAATTTGATTAAGATGGAGAAATTCGATAGGTTGTCTGAAACTAAATACCAGGAAGCCGACTGGGGAAGAGGACGGAGATGGCTCTCGGCTCTCTTCCCTTCTTGGCGCGCGAGCTCTCGATTCTCACTCAACGGCATTGGAAAATTTTCAGCGGTAGGTTTACGCCTGTGCCTCATGAATAAAAGATAAAATGAACAAGGACAAGGAAAACAAAGATCTGCTTCTATGTTAAACGATAAGCAATTAACCCAGAATGAAAAAATATATAAATAATTTAATTACTATTAATACATGAAGGACTGCGACAGAGAATTGCCGGAATCTCTGTTTTCTGACTCTGAAACTTTGCATCCAAGAGATGAGAAGATGCTGTAGATCCTGATTAAGCCTTTGCATACTCATCACTGACTCCGATAGATGCATTTCCGGGATGAGATCGAGGTACATCGAATTGCCTTTCGATGAAAGCCACTGCCGGGCTTTGTCGAGTTTCGATTCCATCGTGCCGAAAATTCCACAGAGATCATGATCGGGGTCTCGTTTGCTTATGCATGGAACGGGAAATAACCATTTCCCTTGGGTACACCCTTGCCTTGCATACGAGGCCTCTTTTTCCGTGATGCGGTTCAATTCGATGGGGAATGAACTCACCGAGCGGGCTATCGTCCAAGAGAGTAAAATACGTGAATTTCTCCAGGAAGAGGACCGTGCTGATGAGTAAGCTTCCTGCTAGCATCGTCTTCCTAAAGAGGTTCGAGAACGAAACATACAATTCATTGCGTCTCGTGAAGGAACCGTTGCTCTGAGTCTGAAAAAGGTCCGTCAACTACTCTGCTTAGTGCATTTTGGAAATTGAAAAAATAAATTTCCGAGAGCTTCTGCCCCGAATGCTGAAACCTCCTTTAGTTAACGGTCCTGTAAGAGTACATGGATTTCTATGGGAGAAAAAGAGCTCTTTAGCTTAAAAGCCCCTTTATCTCCCCTAAATGAGGTTTGTGCATTCGGGCCTAACTCTTTAGAGCGTTTAATGCGCCTAGAAATTGATCGGTACTGCGTGAGAAAAGTGAGAGGAAAGGGGGCGTTTCTCCAACTCATACAGGGATGCTCTTTTGTGAAGCACGTAGAGGAATTCACCAGAAAATAAAATTTGAGATATGTTGGGAGACTCGGACCACCACGCATGGAGCATAGAACGAACTCGATGCAAACACAGGGGTGGGGGATAGCCGCTCCCATTTTTGAAAGCGGGGGGCAAAAGGTCGGTTTTGTCCCCCAGGATTTGGACAGATCAAGGATAATTTCCTCGGTTCACTAATCAGCAAACCCCTTCCCCTTCCCCCCTCCATCCCCCTCTCTTCCCGGCCGTCAACTGGGCCTGGTTGCTTATACGTCTACAAACCCTTGGCGCGATGGGGTCCCTTTCTGGCCCTCCAGCCTCCACGTGCCGCGTTACTTCGACCAGGCATGGCCGAATGTGACCGTGGGCGAGACAGAATGTCGCGGAGAACTCATCATTCTTGAGCTCTTTCATGCAACTGATGTTCCCGCATTCGTTCCACGATCGGAGACGAATCGAGATAAAGGGGAAAGTAAACGAATGGCTTCCAAAATACGTTACTGCCTGGGATGACGTCGCTTGTTTTGCTTCCGAACGGAGGGCTCTCATTGGCTGCAGGGCAGGATAAAGACCACATCGCGCTGCGACTTTCTACGCATATCGTCCGCTTTTGAGGTGACAGGGAGCTAAGCTAGCCGAGTGAAAGAGGACTTTTGCTAATTCTATCTCATCTTGAGGGAGGGTGAATGATTCTATCCTAAATGGAAGAGAGCTCCTCTGAACATCTACTCCTCCTCTCGAGGTTCTGGTACGGGAGGAGGAAACAGGTCATTTCAGTACTCTTGAGTGCTGGTGAGGATGAGTATTCGTGTACTCGTCCAACCACCATAGAGTTCTGAAGTGTGGAAAGGAATGGGAGATACAGTGCATCAATTCTCTTCAAAGGTACTGATTGGCTCATTAAATACACATGAATGCTAGGGGAAAATTAACATCAGTTTTACGTAAAATGAATGTAAACATCCTGTTTGGAATGCAAACGGGAATGTCAATTTTACGTAAAGTTGAAGTAAATTTTATATCACCGTTTACGTATTACAGGTGACATTTCTGCAAACATGTTGACAGTATCTTGACAATGGTATGCGTAAAAATGATATGAAATGGACAAAAATTTGCATTCATTTTACGTAAAATTAACATATACATGCTGTTTGGGGGGGGTGGTACGGTTCGTGAAATTCAAAATTCGCGAAATTACAAAAAAATACGATTCTTGGATTTCGCGAAATTAAATCAGCGCCGGAAATATTTCCTGCGTTGTAACGTAAAGTTGGCTGCAAGAAGCATCGTATTTAATTAGATGAAACTGCACTCATGATTGCCCTCAGCAGCAGAAATTCTCTCAAATGAAAGTTCAACAGGCGTAAAGCAGATTCATAGTTCTCTGGATTAGACCAGCGGAATTCAAACTGCAGCCCAGTTCATGCTCTTATGCGGTTCACTACGATCTACTAATAATTGATTTTTTCAAAATGCTTCAGTCGAAACTCATTTGAAGAAAGGCAATCAATCATTTTTAATTGCAGATTCGGAATCTTTTGTTCATAACTAAAAGTCTTAAAAAAAAAGTCTTTAAAATGTTTAGGTACTTATAATTACAAGTTTACATTCAAATTTGAGTGCGCTCCTGCTGAACTAGCCTATAATTTGGAGAGTTCATATATTGCAAAGATTGTGTATTACCTTGCAAGTAAATCATGAAAGGTAAGAGAAGAAAGCAGCGCTTATCAAAAATCTAACATGGAACAAAAGCAGCCCCTAAAACTAGCGTGTTTACATGAACCCTGACTCCCAAAGTTTGTCTAAAGGACTGGTTTAGACAAATAGCTTTAACACCCACGAAGTTAATGGGATTTACTCCAACAACGGGAAGCGACGAACTATTGTCTCATTTTTGCGAATTCATCAATCATTTCCACCATGTTCGCTACCAACAATGGCAGATCGCTCAGCCCTCGTCCCCGCAGCGAGACCGTAGTTCATTATTTTCAAGTGTCACTCAGCCCGAGCAATTGTCAAAGGCCAAGTTAAAACGAGGTCAATTGGCTTCAAGATCTGCATCTTGAGAGTCAGGTCTGGTGCACATGGCGGGTGAGGGAATCCTTGGAATCAAGCGTCATGGAGGCCGACCTGTAAACATTTGCCAAGTGAGCCGGTGCACCGTCATGCTAAAGGAGAATCTCTTTCCTCAACTTTCTTCGGTATTTCTTCTTGATAGATACGCGCAACCTCTCTGGTGATGCAGTCTGGCACTGACCAGTGATCGTACTATTATGAGGCGTCGGCCGATGAGAGTGACTCCTAATGTGTCCCATAAAACCGTCTCCACCGCTTTGCCTGCCGATGTCTGAGGTCGAAGTTTGCTGGATCGTGAAGAGTCCTCGTGTCCTCGTTGCGTGGACTCAGGGCTCCGGTGGTCCAGTCAGGTAACAGCCAGGTAACATCCCCGGTAACTGACGGTGGACAAAAACTCCATCGGATGCGCATAGAACCGATTTAAATTCTACCAACTCTCGATGTCACCACGTCGAACGACAGACAACGGTCGAGGAACCCAGCAGGCACGGACATTTCACAGCTTTCCGTGAAAAATGTATTGAATACTGTCGATCGAAATGCCCAAAGCCTGAACTATTTCTCTCGTTCACCATTCGCCTGTCCTCCATCGCCAGCTTTTCTACAGCACCTTAAGCTTCCCCTGTCGCCACTTCAAAGGTGGATTATGGAAGGGAATCTTACATTGAATTTCGTCCTCGTCTGAATTCAATTACCTAATTCGAGACTGTGCTATAGGAAGGTGAACGATCCTTACAGATGCTAATCTAGTACTTATGGGTATCCTGTGGGGATAAGCCCGTCCTGATAAAAGCTTGATCATAATTTGGTTTCAAATTGTTGAAAACTCATGGAAACCCAATCCTGCAGCAAAACAGCAAAGTGGTGTTCTTTTATCAGAAAGGCTACATGCTTCTAACTTCACAAGGGAACAGTGGTGTAGTGACATCACTGGATTACACTGCTTAAGTTGAAAAACCAATGGCCTGAGTTAATCTGACCGAGAACTTGCTGGATACTCCTTGTAACATAAACTGAGAATATAGAAGCGCTTAGCTAATCCTTAATGTTCAAGGGCCCTTTACATTTTATTTTCTAAAAAGACAACATAGAAAGTATCACTACTACAAGTCTCTCTTCTACACATGAGCATCCTTCAATTTTAGCACACGCCCCATCTGTGACTGAGCTATTCAGGAGTTATTAGATAGACCCTACATTATTTTTTGGGCACCTTGTAGCAGTCAAACCTGGGGGTGCTGTTTAAATGCCTGTTCCATGAGCTAAATTAACACGGAATGACCTCTGGGTTGAAGAGAGTTAAAATGCCCCTTCCAACTTTTTCAAGGCCGATTGGATGGCCTTTCTAGCATCAATCGAGCATCGTGACTATCCCGTCCAATACGATGTCCATATATTATACGTATAGTTGCTTTTGTGGAATCCAGTGACTGCCATCGACTCCATTCCACGTGACTTGCCTTGACACGGGATGCGCTGCACTCCACAAGCAGTATGAAGAGTCTGTATCTCAAAAGATAACGTGCAGCTTCATTGAATCGCTTGATGCTGCCCGACGTGACCGCTGGGAGACCACATCTCTGTTTCACTTCTCATGAAGCGGACGAAGCGGATGGTCCTTAATTCTTCAGCCAGGCAGTTTTTGCATAGCACCACACTCTCCAACCCCCCCCTCCCTTCGAATTTACCACAGGAAAGATGGAGGTCGCCCTACGCCTGATGAAGTCTGGCACTGCTCCAGGCATCGACAACATTCCACTTGAATTTCTGAAGCACCTTCGGGAAGGAGATGGCTTGCTCGGTTCCTCAGTAGAAAACTGGAGAGCTGGATGTTAGATACTTGGCGTCTTGCGAAGACAGTTGCACTACCAAAGTCTGGCAAGGATCCACGCATTGCAGCCAGCTATCAGCCAAAATCCCTGCTCAGGTTCTGCTATGAGCTGCTGGAAAGGCTCGTTCTTCAACGAATCTCGCCGTTGGTGGATGGTGGACGCATAGTTGAGTGTCGACCAGGGGCCCATTTCATGAAATTTACAAGCTCTACAAGTTACAAGTTACTAGTAATTACAAGGGTCGTGTCGTAGTTGTACGAAAGGCCAGCGGGACCAGCTGGAAGAGTTAAACAAGGAGACACGACCCTTGAAATTACTTGTAACTTGTAACTTGTAGAACTTGTAAATTCCATGAAACAGGCCCCAGGCCTATTCCCCAGGCCGTTAGGACCTGATGCATTCCACGACGGGTGCTGTCTTCCTTGATCTGACCGCTGCTTATGATACAGTCTGGCATATCAGCCCATTGACCAAGTTGTCATGGATGCTACCGAGATGGGCGGTGAATTCTGGAGATGCTATTTTGCAACCGTCGATTCAGAGTGTGCATGGGGGAGGGGGGGGGGGGAGATTTCCTTATAATAATACTTCCTCGAGCTCATGTCTTGCTCCAAGTCTTCAGCATCTTTTCCAATGACCTACTCTGTTCCCGGATTGAATTCGTACCTTCTATCGGAGCGCTTCCATTGATTGCAGGTAGTGACATCTAACACACGAGTGGTTACGTCTATCACCTGATGAAGCGGAACATCTGGAGATTGGTGTTTTCTCCGTTTTTCACTCTAAGGGGTGGTAGGAATTCAATCCGGAAAAAGTGTACCCGTGATCAATTCGCTCACGTTCATCTTCGTAAATGACATCTGTCTTGCAGTTTAGTCGCACGACTTTGTCAACCTAGGAGTCACCATGGACACAGATCTGGCCTGTCCGCAGCGAAGAACAGTCAAGACAGCATCCAGCGCGTTTCACCTGGGTCTGTCGGACCTGAACTTGAAGTGAGCCTGAATGATCTACGGCTGCAGCGCTGACCCTAATCCGGTGTAACTCGAAATCACTTTCGACCGGTAACGCCTATGCGACCAAAATAAAGGCTCGAAGCAACCTCTCCAGCAAGCTTGCTGGTGCATGGCTTGCTTGCTCGACATGGGGTGTAGACGCCCATACCTTGAGAACAGCTATTGCTCTGCTGCTCTGTTATCCTTTGTAAAGCTATTAACATCCTATGATATTTGCTTAGGAATTGAGCTGATACGATATTGCTAATTAGTTTTATTTTGGGGCGAAGTTGAAAGAAATGATGCCGTCACCACAGACGTACGCAGTCATGGTGCCATGCCATCAAAGACGAGAACATTTCCAGGGAATTCATGAGACGAGTGAACTCTGTAATTCGGCTGAGTAACAGTCCGTGAATTCCGAGTCGTTCACACGATCCGTTACGTACTTCGGTGTAGGATAGATATCATACAATGCATTAAATCTTGAGTTCAGAAGTGTCAGTCCACTCACCGGGAATAAATGAATGGTCCATCAATCCAGCGACAGCACTTTTATAGGGACGTAACCCATGAGCTGGCATGAGGCCTTACTAAGGAATAACGTTTCCTTATCTCTTTTTTTTTATCTTATCTCGCCCCACCGTGTGTGGGAGGCGACAGAGAGGCGGCAAAACAAACGTTGAAAGCTTGGGAAGCATTACTTCTCCCTTGTCTCTTGCATTTCTATCATTTCCTCTTGTTCATTTGATGATAGGGAGAAAAAGGACTGGAAGACAAGCACGAAAGAGTTACATTCCCGCCTCACGAAAGCATCACGAATGAGGTCACGATAACTCCTTCGCATTTTTTTTTACCCAGCTCAGCTTCCTCTTAATCATGTTTCCATCGTGCAGGAGGGGAAGAAAGGGGAGTATGACTATTGAATCTCCTTCCGAAAGAGACCGGAGGAAATCGATCGTGGAAGTTGTAAGGGATCATTTCTCCCCACTCGTGAACATTCGGCCGAAAAACATTCACGGATCGACCAAACCCCTCTAGGGGTTCACCTCTTGGCGAAGCAATAAATCTGCCGAGCACGTTCTCCGGAAAAGAATCTTCAATCTAGCGTGCGTTGCGGCGTGAATATTGTGATTGCTCTCCTCGCCAGCGCTTAATGATGGCGGCTCTTACTGGCACGAAGGAGTAATAGTAATGGTTGTTTATTTTCCTCTGCCAGGAATTATGGTATGCCGTGCCCCGAGAGTCAAAATAAAACTAATTCTTTCTCTGAACGTAGGAATAATAAATGTCCCAGTGCCGCTGCTCTCGTTTCCACCTCTGTACCTGTGCCTCATACGAGTCGGTACTACATGTCTGATTTTATTTCAGGGGAAGAAGGAACGGCATTTCTGAGAACTATGAATAAATAGGCGCCTTTGATGAACTTCACACATTCATCAAAGCGTGAAAAATGTATGTCCAGTATTGGTCCTATGTTTATAGGTCGAATATTGGGGGAAAAGAGGTGAAGCGTTATAAATCCAATCGAGGGCACATCAAGTGACATATTTCCCAATTACTTCAAATGTTCCGTTTCCTATCACTGGGAGACTTTGGGGCTATACCGCATTTCCAAATATAAACTCAATATTGCCTAAATGTCGATTTAAAAAAAAAAGGGAGTCTAATATTGGATCGAGAGAGTGTGTATATGCCGATCTGAAACCAATATGCCTAGGAAGGAACGCGATCGGGCCAATATTGCTCACCACTTGGATACTTGGAAGTATCGACTGTCGATTGGATTCTAGCACTTCACAGTACTTCAAGCGGGATGGTAATTGGTAAAAATATAAGATACAGGATCTTGCGACATTCCCGAAGGTAGGCTGCAGAAAGGGGACGAGGGTTCAAAAGGGTTCAAAACTCCCTCTAATTTGTGGGTGGGGCACTGGGCTTGGTTGTTAGTTCTAACCGCCAGGGATTCTGCTCCGAGGCGTGGTTCGCTTTTCTCTAATTTTCATTTGTTTTTCTTCTTCCTTCGAAAGCCATCTCGACAAAAATGTTGCTTCCCAATAGCAACCCGAGCAGCACGGCGGTCCATTGCAGCAGCGTTCCAGCTGTAACCTTGATGGGCATTGTTGCTCCGATGTCTTCGGCATCATCTGTCCGAAGCGACTGCATTAACGGGATATTTAGAACGTTCTCTCTTCCATTGCATCCTTGTGAAGCTGAAACTTCTTGAACGAGAAAAAGTTCTTCGCGGTTTGTGGATGGGACATCTGGTTCTTTCCCATGCGAGAAGTATCGCGTCCAACAAGCTGATCGGAGATCGAAAATCGCATCCGAATCTTCCACTTTGAGAGGAGCCACACGTAATCGACGCAAAGCTATGAAATATGTTTCTCTGCCGAGTGAGACCCGATCCTTCTATTCGTCTCGGCCAGTGAAGCGAGGCCAATTGTTGAACCGTTCTTTTTGCATCGTATGAGCCAGAATTACATTCGAAAAAACGTGTCATCAACGTGCTGTGTTAGCTACGAGAAGGAAAACTTACCTCGTGCTCTAGCGAATAAAAAAGTAACTCGGTTTCCGTTGCCAGAGATAAGTCATTCCTTTCGGATCGCCCACGACATTAAGCCTCAGGAATGAATCAGAATCAACTCAATCTCAAGAGGGAAAAGAAAAGAAAATTACTATTGAGATTTTGTTTGTGGGTATCGAGCGCTTCGATTGCCAGTTTATGTTTTGCCATGCCACTCCATCTAATGAAATTAACTACGCTGCAGTTCATATGCATTAGATTCATTGTTTCATGCGATTGCAGCTAAACCACCATGAACGAGGTCAGACCCCTGAGCGGATGAGAAAGAAACTTGAATGATCATGGAAGAAGAATAGTCGAAGAATTGGCCCTTAACCCATTCTTAAAAAAAAATACCTCATGTCATGAGTCGTTAATTCGATCTCTCCTTTCGCTCAAGTGACCGTTTTCTTGAAGCCAATGCTCTTTTACGGCCACGAATGCTGCTCCCATCACTACTAGGCTACTTCATGAACTCCGAAGGCTCATCATTGATTTTGTTTTCAATGGATCCCTTCACATGTATGGAGAAGGAAGTTGCCGATACTGCAGCACGAAACGGTTCTTTCACAGGGCTGCCCATCCGGCTTCCATCATCCCAAATCATTTGTTGCCATCTCCTCAAAAGGATTAGATTATGGAAAGAATAATGGAGATGGTAACCGACCCTAGAGGGTCCCATCGGAAGAATATTGAGGGTTCTCTCAGCGATTGGAAGCTGCCACATTCATTCCTTCATTTTTCATCGATTTGAAGCCGCTCATCTCAGGTCGACGAGTTCGCGGCTCGAGCAGGCGGAGGAGCCCATTCCCGATCCTGGGCTAAGGACGCAAGCTTGGCGGGTGAAATACGGAACCTTTACGTGGCAAAGCTTTGGGATTTAATCCCGCCAGCCTCGCACGAGGCCTGCCGGCTGATGTGGCCTGATAGAGGAACTCTATTTCGAGAGTCTTTCGGGGACCGTGTGAGGAGACGTGTCTCCACCAAAGGACTTCAGATCTCTCGATACGATTGCGTTGCTGCTCGATCTGAAGATTCTCACAGAAGGCGAGAACGACGGCCGCCGCCACAAGAACTTCGTCGAGGCAGTTCGTATCAGTGCCCTGATTCTTCCGATCATTACCCACAGTTCGTGGCCATAGGAGAGGGTGGGGAGACAAACGCTCGTAAAAGTCGAGAGTTTCGCCTCCTTGGAAATGTCAGAATTTGCAATCACAGTCCTCCAGAGTTACTGCAAAAATTGTGGAAGCATTCGGATGTCGATCTGGTTTCCACATCACTCGAGAATCGGAACTCAAGGTACTCTTTGGGGTCCCCCATAACATGTAAGGCGCACTGTACAGGACTTCTTGAAAGGATAACTTGCACATTGGGGTGATTCAATTTCATTTTCGGCGACAATACCTTATGAGTCGAACAGGTCGAGCACGATCTGAAGTTCCTGCCGAGACCGGAAAAAATGGATGGCATCATTTTCCTAAATGATGCCATACAGCGACCAACGATTTCGATCCCCTCGAAGCCCAGGTTGCGTCTAGAGATCCCATCTACAGTATGTACTCGAGGAGCAGGAAAGGAGAGAGACCGCAACTGCGACGGAGCCCAACGCCTACAGGGAAGGTGTCTGCAGCTCATCCCGTTCACTCGAACGCAACTCCTGCAGTGACTGTATTGAATGACCGACTGTAGCTGATACTAGCTGCTTTAGAGCTGCTCCCCACAACCTCCCTCGGACGGTCGTACCCCTTTTCGAGTTGCGATACTTTTCAAAACGGCCATGTTTGCTCGCCTCCTCTGGGGAAATGAAGACTTTCGGACTCATCTCTGCGGCTATCAAGCAACCCAAATTGTGTCATCTGTGAGATTCCTGGAACCATCGAGTTCTTTCCCTTCGGGAGCAGAATTTTCGTACACAATGGATCCCAGATGAAGTTGCCTTGTCCTCCCTTCGCCTGCCAGGTCCTTGGATCTTTCATTCAGTCGCCCTCTTTCAATCTCGAGTCATGGTAATAAAGCTTTAATTGGGATGTGAGGGTGAGATGAGCTCCAGATCTTCAAACAAAATGAAATTCCGGATTGTGACCTCATTTCTCATCGAGATTGACCTCTTGAGTCTCAACAGAATTATTCTAGGAGTTTCTCCATTGTAAGAATAATCATTATTGTTATTGGAAGTATCGATGTCCAGTACGAAGTGAATAATCTTCATAACCTATCCGGTTTAGAGAGCCGCAAGGTCAATTAGCCGATGAATAAGGAATAAGATTCTTATCTAGACATCCCCGTGGGGAGGGGAGAAACGGTGTTCTTAAACTTCTTCCGATTCAAAAATTGTATGTATCTGAGCAGTAGACGTGTAGCCTGAAGATGCTTCGTAATGATTTCCCTTGAGAAAACCTCCATCTGAGAAGCATACTTTCTCACTTTAGACTCGTGAGTATCGAATCTATTGCTCATGGTATTCGTGTGTCACTGTGATTTCAATTACTGTGTTCCTCCAGAGGTCAAACGAGATATAAAGTGAGAAGAGAAAGTTTTGACTCGTGCGAAGGGGGAAATAGCTCGTCTCGGGAGTGTCGTGCCATGCATCTTTTCCTGGAGTGCATAATCACCAACTTCGCATCTCCAAGAGGGTGTCGGTGTGAGATTGTACCCGATGGCATATAGTGGCTCCCTACAGGGAGATGCAGGTACGGGGAACGCAGTATGCCACATGAAGGCCGGCGCGAAGGCATGCGCTGCGCTGGGGAAAGAAGAGGAAGGAGAAGGAGGAAAAGCGACGGAGGTCCCCTCGTCCAACCCACTCTCTCCTCGGCAAGTCTTCTCTTGGGTTCTCATCTCTGACCCACCAGCGGCACCACGAGGGATGCTCTGCTACTGAGTGAGTCACTGTACACGCAATTTTCCCTTCCCGGCTAACTTTTCTGTCGACTAAATGCATGTCTTTATGTCGATCCCATCTGCCAACCTCTAGATGCGCGTAACCCATAAAACTGACGAAATGGAGATTCATATTCTCTGAACCATAGCCGCCACGGATA